TAATGGTGTCAAAGCTCTTACAATGAATGCATGTTATTACACGTAAATTACACTCTTAAAGTTGACAGGGCGGCAGAGATATTGTTTCGTATTCTTCCCTTCAAATTAAATCTACAGTCGATATTGTGGTCTAGCACAATGCTAAGTCAGCAGACCTTTTAAATACCCTGAACAAATGTTTACATGTTGCCTTGTAATTAACATTACCCATTTTCAATAGAACTTCCATGATTTAAAAAAAATCTAAAATTAGAAAAAAATTTGGGTTTTGTCTCATGCTTACATTGAAATATAATCTGCATTAATCTTTGTTAGGGTTTGAGGGAGTCATAAAATAACACCCTTTTCTCCTGACTTTTTGAGCCACTTGAGAGACAAAAAGTCATGTAGAGATTTAATATGTCAGATTTACTGCTGAAAAAGTCTAGGTCAGAGGATGTGATTTAGGTTTGTGACAACAATGGCCACCTAATATCAAATCCAGAATTAGACAGACCTGCTCACCAAGGCATGGGCAGTCCTGCACAACTACAGGTCTCCCCTCGCAGGGACAGAGAGTCTTCACTGCAAAACCTACAACATTTCTGGCAAGAGACCACAACACAGGCTCTCTGCAGGCATGATACGTCCAAAAAAAAAAAAAGGCAGAAAAGGGCTTGTAGGTCCAGTTCTTTATCTTAACTCCCTTTACTGGTGAGGTGGGAGAGGGGAGGGAAGGAAGAGATTGCAATTTCTTGGTTAATGGATGTCCAAAGCAGCACCATCCCCACCCTCTGCCTTCCCAACAAAGTGTAGACCAGCATTTTCTCACCCTTTCTTCCACCCTGCACACACAGCAAGTGAGGTTCACACACAACACACATTAAGGCACAATTCATGGTACACTGGCTATAGGGCCATCCCTTCTCTTCCATTCAAGTGGACATACTTAATTGCATGTGGCAGAAGAGACACATTTCATTTTACTTTGGTAATGAGTAAATCATTTATAAATTTCTGTATTTTATTATTGGTTAAAAGAAGAAAAACCTTACTTTCTCAATCCTAAAATGTCATCAATTACAAAATACACCATCAGTTTCATAATAACCTCTGAGGAAAAACACACTTAATATACCTATTGATTTGAAGATAATTATAGAACTATGGTTTTTGTGTCAACTCACAGCTCATTTAGGTACATGTATGTCATGAAATCAAAGTCCAGAGTCAATTTAGAAGGGCTTCTGACTCATGAAACCTGAAATTAAAGAAATGATTGACAATTTCCTACTGCTGGGAAAGGAAGGGAAACAAGCTTTTGACATCATTACCTAAAGTATATAATGTAATGTCAGTTATAATCCTGGAAACTCTAGTTTTCTGAGACAAACCTTTTTTTTATTTAAAGTCTTCATTATAGTTTTGACATACAACATCAATTTAAAAGCTGATTTCGTACTTGAGTACCATAAAATTTTGTACATAGGCTCCAATTAAAGTAGATCCAACTAATTATTAGAGAAATGCAAATCAAAACTACAATGAGGTATCACCTCACACCAGTTAGAATGGGCTTCATCAGAAAATCTACAAACAATAAATGCTGGAGAGGGTGTGGAGAAAAGGGAACCCTCTTGCACTGTTGATGGGAATGTAAATTGATACAGCCACTATGGAGAACAGTATGGAGGTTCCTTAAAAAACTAAAAATTGAATTACTGTGATCCAGCAATCCCACTACTGGGCATATACCCAGAGAAAACCATAATTCAAAAAGACACACCCCAATCTTCATTGCAGCACTATTTACAAGAGCCAGGTCATGGAAGCAACCTAAATAACCATCGACAGACGAATGGATAAAGAAGATGTGGTACATATATACAATGGAATATTACTCAGCCATAAAAAGGAATGAAATTGGGTCATTTGTAGAGACATGGATGGATCTAGAGACTGTCATACAGAGTGAAGTAAGTCAGAAAGAGAAAAACAAATATTGTATATTAGTGGATATATGTGGAACCTAGAAAAATGGTACAGATGAAACAGTTTGCAGGGCAGAAATTGAGACACAGATGTAGAGAAGAAACGTACGGACACCAAGGGGAAAAAACGGCGGGGGGTGGTGGTGGTGGTGTGATGAATTGGGCGATTGGGATTGACATGTATACACTGATGTGTATAAAATGGATGACTAATAAGGACCTGCTGTATAAAAAAATAAAATAAAATTCAAAAATTCAAAAAAAAAAAAAAGTAGATACAGGTTCTGTGATTTATACCTTGCATGACCTTTCAATGTTTAGCACATTTAATCTATAATCTATAATCTAAGAACCTGTTGTCAGGACTTCCCTGGCAGTCCAGTGGTTAAGACTCTGCTCCCACTGCAGGGGGTGCGGGTTCGACTCCTCGTCGGGGAACTAAAATCCCGCGTGCCACTGGTGCGGCCAAACAACAACAACAACAAAAAGAACCTGTTGTCTAGAGAATAATATATGATTCTCAAATCATCAGGCATGGTCTGGATGTGTAGTGTTCTGACTAATGAGTGTCTATGCCATACAATTTTCAAACAAGAATACTACAAACTATGTTCAATATAATGTTAGTGTTTAGTGCTGTTTCAGAAAGTATATTAAATATATTTGATTATATCTTTATCATGAACATCAATTGTTTTTCTCTCAGATTCAAAAGAACTTGCTATTATAGTTACCAAGCTTGGTAAAGATCTATCGGTATTCACATCCTTATAAAATAATGTATGCATTCTTCTCTTCACACACAGAAGAGTGTTAGCTAAGCATCTTTTGGGGCCTGAAGAAATGAGCTGCCTTCCTTCTGTATAATTCACCATTTCTTTCCTCCGTCTTGCATCTAAACCATCTTATGTCTTATCTCTGTGTAAGGAAGAGACAAACCTGGCCTACTGATGTCAATACAGAGGAAACGCTAGGTTCATAAACAGAATTTAGTGGCTACATGCAGTCCATCCTGGGTCTTGCTTCTTTTGGGTTGTGGTATAGACCTTACACCAAGAAGAGTCCTCAACTGAAAGCCATCTGTCCTACAGTATCAGAAGTAGTGACTTCTCACTTTCACGAAAGGAAAAGATTACAAAGAAGTTCTCCTCCTTTCTTAAAACCAGAAGTGAGGTTAAATAAAACCAATTCAAGTTATTCATAGAAATAGCTAGCATTTACTGAGTACTTCATACACAAGACACCATACAAGGTGCCTTACATATTTTATTTTCACATAAGAAATGAATTAAATAAATCAATCTAATTTTTCAAAAGCTAACAACACAAAATAATAGGCAAACCTTTATATGCAGAAAAAACCTATTTATTCACAAATTATACAATACACATCCATTACTCAAAACAACGTACAAAAGAGTAAGTGCCCACTTCTCTAGATACCCAACTATCTGCCCTTTGAGAATATACCTTATTAAACAAAATAAAATATAATTAATATTTGTTTTTTGGGTCTTTCTAAAACTAACTTCTTTAACCAGAGCTAACTTTCTGATACAACTTTAGGGAAAAAATATAATACTTCCCAAGGTAAGTGCTGGCTTCTCCAACTCTGAAAAAAAGAGGTAAGCATTCGACTAAAAGAAATGTTTTTAAATTATCTCAGAAAAATGTACAGTATTACATGTACATGCCCTCAGAGGGTAAGGTGAGATTCTTTAAAATAACTTACTTCCTCTCTAACAAGGATAAAATTAATTTTAAACCAATAATAGCTTCCTGAGTTTCAGAAGTAACAGTACACAACAGTTCTACTATACCAACATATATGTGGCATAAAAATAACAATTAATATTAGCAATGACAGTATTGACTTGTGGATGTGACTGTGGCCTTTCAATGCAATATATTCTGCAATATATCCTTTCTACTCATGGGACTGAACCATAAATCACATTTCAGTTTCTATGTATGTTGTGCCTAAGGTATTCATTCATTGGCACTTTAATAAATCTCTACTTTTTTTTTCTCCAATTTTTAGAAAGGTATAATTTAGCTATTTAAAACTGTGATTGTTTCTCATTTCACTGAGTAGTTCCAGAAAAGTTAACTAGAAAAGGAATTCCGAACCATCAGCTGGAAAGTTATATCAAGAGATAAGTTATTTTCAAGGGTTTTAATCTTGTAGAAATAAGGAAAAGAAAATAACTGCTTTTGACTGGGACAACAGCAGTGCAATTTGTTATGATGTATCTATAAGAGCCATTCGTTTTAAAAAATGCACATCTTAAAAGTGACTCACTTGGTACTAAGGACTACTCTATCTACTTTAATAATTTAAAAAATAAAACCATGATTCTGACATTTATCAGTATTTCACACATCTAACAAATACTGAAGCTATCAACTACCATTGTTATAAATAATTATAAAGTCAAAACAAAAGCACAAATCAGAATTAAGAGAAACTTCAGAAAATATTCAGAATGTACACATTTGCATGCATTTTCAGTCAAACTTTCAAGGATCCCACATATAACCCAATGACAACTTTGAATCAAAATGAATGTCAAAAAGATTCAAGCTTTGTGACAGACTTTCTCTAACGTAAGAAGAGAAAAAGAAGAGTGAAGAGTAACAGCAGGGTATTTCTAGCAGGGAAAGAAGCCTACTTCCTTTATCATAAAAGCCAACAAGTCAATATTTTAATAACACTGGCCATCAAGTTATTCACTATTTGAGAATTTACTTTTCAAGTTGTATCTTTAAAATGCATTCACTTATATATTTGGATTAAATTAAGCTTATTAATCAAAAAACCACTGTACTCAGAATTTTAATCTTAAGAAGCTGAAATCATAGCTTATCAAAGCAGAGTCCAAACACTACACAATGATTCTTCCATTTAGTTTTCATATGCCTCATCTGAAAAACTTATTTTACAAACAGGAGTTTTGCCCTGTTTCTCTAAATGCCCCAACGGCTAAAATTTAGGTGGCAAAGATAGATTCAAATGATTCCTGCTAAGCTTCATCGGGCTTTGATAAAAACAGAGCCATCTGGTGGAGCAGCACCATCTTCCTTCTCAGTCACAGTCTCTACAGTCCCAGAAGCCGACACAATAACCATTGTTTTATCTGCTGCAACTGTCTTCTGTTTTTCAGCAATAGCTGCACAAACAGCTACAATCTCCTCACTTTCAAAGTCATACTCAGGAATTGACTTTGGTGAGAAATGTGTTACCTCTGCTGGTGCTTCACTTTTTTTAATCCGCTGTGCTACCTTCTGCTGCTCCTGGAGCGTTCTTGCCCAAGAAAGGTCTTCTTTCCATATTTCAGGGTTCATTGGATAGATGTGAAGGGCTACTTGAAAACTTCGAATTGCCTAGGGAGCAGAAAAGGTCAGACTTTTTTGTTTGCTTAGTTTTAAAAAAGGAGTGTATTTCATATAATCCACAATATCCATATCTCTCTCTCTTTTTCCTCAATGTATTAGAATGTAAAGATGGAAGTTAGAGCTGTTCTCTACCCACTAGATGATGGTTACTAAAAAAAAAAAAAAAAAAAAAAAAAAAAGAGTCAAAGAGTGTAAAAGAAAGTGGCTGACAAATTGTTGATGAGGACTAAAAGTCTATTAAAACAGAGGTACTGATATCATGGCTCAAAACAAGGCAAATGCATTGTTCAGCTTCTGCAGATCAGCAAATATATAAATCTGGCGATTTCCTGGGCTAACCCATGATAAGAAAGGTACCAGGAATGCATATCTTTGAAGCCAAGAGTTTAGATCATAATAATGATAACATGTCTTGAGTGTCACAGGAGACAAAGAAGGACATTATATAATGATAAAAGTGTCAATTCACCAGAAAAATATAATGATTATAAATATATATGCACCCAACATCAGAACATTTAAGTATATAAACACTGACAGACTGAAGGGAGAAACAGACAGCAATAAAGTATTAGTAGTGGATTCAACACCCCACTTTCAATAATGGATAGAACATTCAGACAGAAGATCAATAAGGAAACAGAAGATTTGAACAACACTGTAGACCAAAGGGACCTAACAGACGTATATAGAATGATTCATACAACGGCAGCAAAATACACATTATTCTCAAGAACACACAGAACATTTCCAGGATAGATCACATCTTAGGTCACAAAACAAGTCTTAAATTTAAGAAGACATACCAAGTATCTTTTCTGACTACAATGGAATAAAACTAGAAATCAACAGCAGAAGGAAACTGGAAAAACTGACAGATACACAGAAATAAAACAGCACACTCTTGAACAACCAGTGAGTCAAAGAAGAAATCAAAAGAGAAATTAAAACATATCTTGAGACGATAATTAAAATGTAACACCCTGATACTATAGGATACAGCAAAAGCAAAACTAAGTGGAAGTTTATAATGATAAATGCCTATGTTAAAAAAAGAAAAGATCTCAAGGAAAAAAACCTAACTTTATACCTCGAAGAATTAGAAAATGAAAAACAAACTAAGCCTATGAACATTTTCCAACATACACACCCAGCTCCGCATAAAAATCTAAATACTCATAGATGTATATACAACTATTGACTTTTAATTTACTGCCTGTTCTATCTACCTATGTATTTTCCTATGTTTTTGTCCATATGTATATGTAGAAAGAACTGAGATGTTAGAAATTTTAGCTTGTTTTCAATATATTTTTTACAGTATTCCCTTCATTATGACAATGAGTAAAGTTATTTTTTTAACCATTCTAGTATTTCAAAAGAATTTCAAAAGAACAGCTTAAGTTTATATAAAAATTACAAATTTAGATTTGTTTCAAGTAGAGCCCTAAAACTGTATTAAATGGGGAAAAACACTTTTAATTCCAAGAATTTCACAATATAAATAGAAAGAAATGTATCAAGCGGAAAAAATAACAGTTGAACAACTGGTACTCCTATTTTAAAAACTTAAAATATTGAATAATTTTACTTTTATTGGTTTATTCAAAGTATCTCTGTTGTCTCACCTGCAGTTTATTTTCTTTCTTTATAGGACAATCTTTGCTAAACATTATGTCCTAGAGATTTTTCCCATTACCATAGGTACTTATAAGCAAAACAGATAATGATTTGTAAGTTCCTAATAAAGAGAAAGGGGTAAAAAGTATCATAGAATAGACTTTTGTTTTGCTGTTAACCTGTTAGAAAAGTAAATTCCTTGAATTTCTTTTTCCAACTCTGATATGATTTAAGTCTTCAGATAAAAAAGAGGAAAGATGACTATGTTAAATGGCAAGGAAAGAAAACAACCTTTGGTTTAACTTGTTTCCATCACTGTGAATTTTATTTCAGATTATCATTTTTAAGTTACTTTACTTTAAGCAATCCTTTCCTCATCAAAATTCCTTATGATTTTTGAGAATTTGACAAATACCTTCTTTGGTAATTAGAAATAATGATATATTTACAAGAGTACCAGAAAAAATCTAAGTTATCTACAACTGACTAAAGCCATTATTATTAATGTTAAATTCAGGATTTACCAATAATTTTAGCCTTTAAAGAAACTTCTTTGGGATTTTTTTGCTTGTTTTGTTTTTAACTGTAAAAAGCTAATAAAAGCATGAAAAATCTTAATTTTTGATGACAAAGAGCAAATCTGGCACCACTATATTAGATTTACAGAAGTCTTTTAGGAAATTAGCTGTCAGGTATATATAGTTCAGTCAAAAGAAAAACAAAAACAGGACAATGCTCACAGCCAACTCTGACCTACCAAGCCTTTGCTACCTACAAGGTATAGTCCAGACGAGGTGAGAAATGCATCAAGTACCAGTTTAGAGTAAACTTTACACAGTGAGTATTTCATTTTCATAAGCTTCTACCCTTCCCCATTTCTCCCCTCACTAAGCCTAGCAATTTTTCAGTCTGAATATTTATCACCATTACTCTCCCATATTTCACTTTCTTCCTTCCTCAACATAATCTTTTAGTGGTTTTTGTCTCCATGGTGATACTAATACCACTTTATAATGTGGTAAACTTAATGATGCAAGGAACTAACCTAAAAGTTGTTTTATATTTAAATAAGGTTTACCAAATGCCTACATTTCATGTTAATATTTTTTTAATTCCCATGATGTCAAATACATGAAGAATATTTTGATCCTGACATAACTGATAGCTGTAATGGAAAAAGATGTTCGGTAATAACTCATCTGTTTTTATGGGTTAATACCTTTAAAAGGTTATTTGCTATTTACTTTTTGTGTACACATGATAAATGACTATTTACTTTTTGGTTCAGCTGATGAAAAGCATGTCAAAATAAAATGTCATCACTGTAATAATCTGACTTACTTACCAAGACTATCTCTCCTAATCCAAGCTGAGCACGTCCCAAAGTTTGCCAAGATTCCCATGAATGTGGATTTCTCTGGATAGCCATTTCTGCAGCATGAACTGCTGGGAACGTTTCATGAAGAGACATTAGGACCTATAGACAAAAAAGAAGAAACAAAACCCATCATAAATTAGCAAACTAAATACTAGCCAAAAAGAAAAAATGGATAATTGTATGTAAACAGCTCTTTTCATTTTTAAAAATATATTTTTAGTTGGAAAATATAACATTTTAGTGGGTTTGACCCCCTTCTCTGCTCTTCAGGGTTAGAAATTATATTCTTCCTACTCCTGAAATATCTGTGAAAAATATAAAGCATTCCCTTTTCAACTGTTGAAACCTACTGTCCATCTGGTCAAAACCAGGTGGTAATATTCTGGCCACGGTGGCTCACAGCTATTTGAACCCCAATTCCCCTTCTGTTTATTCTACTTACAATGTGTTTTTTTAGGGAACTCCAGGTCCTGCTGTCAAACGAGGTAAATTTAAATTTGTTCAACTACCCATCCTGTCCCTAGTGAACATCTTTCTGTTATAAAAATCATTTAAACACTCCACCAGCCTCCCCACAACTGGGTTCTTCAAATTATACACATCAGAAAAATCAGGGAGTTCCAGAACCCTCTACCTCAATTTATGGGCAAGGGCTGGCTTTTATCTATAATATTTTGCCCATCTGCATTTCACAAGATTTGTGACACCATCATTATCAGGTTCCAAATAAAACAACTCATTTCATATAGCTTGCCACAAATCCTATCTTTAATATATACATATTTAAGATTAAAAGTTAAAGACTTATCCAAATGAAGGTCCTCACGGCACTCCATTCAGTGGAAATAATTTATTTGGGTTTTTCCTGGATAAACTACCATCAAAGCTGAAAAAGGATGTGCCCTATGTTTGGGATCATCATCTGCAAGATATGCTAGGTGTGTGGATCAAGGCTGAACTGCAACCACTCCTTGCCAGAAGTATGTTTAATTCTCTATTTAAGATTTTAAACATCTTTTGGATAATCTAATACAAGTGCTCAGAGGTTTTCTTTATGAACTTTCCCACAAAATATTAAACCTGTATTTTTAAGTAGAAATGTTATTTTTATAATATTAATAAATTGAGTCTATTCTGACCTTTTGCTATGGACTAGGCCATTTTTAGAGAAATATCATCATCTAGAATCCAATCCATCCTCATTCTGAAGAGAATGAGTTATTGCTAAGTCCACTACAATTAATTCCCAAGGAAAGCTAACACATTTCATTCATTTAAGAGATCACCAGTGACTTTTTAAAAGACATCCATCTGCTCATATCTTAAGCAGTTAGGTTGAAATGAAAGTTAGCTTCATTGTGAAGTGTTTTAAACAAACTTCTAATTTGATGCATGAGCAAGAGCCATAAATAATATGGTGACATATGTTTTTCCCAAATAAACTATATTTAAAAAAAAAGAAAATGGGGCTTCCCTGGTGGCGCAGTAGTTAAGAATCTGCCTGCCAATGCAGGGGACACGGGTTTGAGCCCTGGTCCGGGAAGATCCCACATGCCGCTAAGCAACTAAGCCCGTGTGCCGCAACTACTGAGCCTGTGCTCTAGAACCCGAGAGCCACAACTACTGAAGCCCGCACGCCTAGAGCCTGTGCTCCGCTACAAGAAAAGCCACCGCAATGAGAAGCCTGTGCACTGCAACTAAGAGTAGCCCCTGCTAGCTGCAACTAGAGAAGGCCCGTGCAAAGCAATGAAGACCCAATGCAGCCAAAAGTAAATAAATTAAATAAATAAATTTACAAAAAAAAAAAGAAAGAAAATGGGAGGAAATGCTCTTTTGGTTCATCACCACTCACCAGACATAGTGAGTGCAATTTCATAATGAAAGGGAAATTCTTCATAATTATTACCTGTGATTTCATCTCATACAGGGTAGCATCATTTGGGGTTAACTGTAGTGCTTCATCCCACTTCTGAATCGCCTCTCGGTATCTATGGTTGTTAAAGTTACATTAATATTATATTTTCAGTATGTCTTTGAGAGTACATGACCAAATTTAAAAATCAGAAAATGAGGAATAATTGTTTACCAAGAAATATCTCTATTCAAGAACTGATAATGGTGATGTTACAAAAGCAGGAAAATTTAAGACATGAAGGGAAAGGACAGCAAAAGAGAAAAAAGCAAAACCTAAATAAAAAAGACTTTTGAAATTTTTCAAGATTTTATTTTCTGGCCTAAGAAATCACCACCAGAATTTCTTTTTTCACCAACCTCAATGTCTGCATGTGCTGTCATTCATTTCAGATGTATTACAAAGGATTTCTCTCAAGAACTTATAATCTAATTACACCCCTTGGCTCTACTGCAGCAATCTAGCTGACAGAGATGACAATTTAAGATGTTGCCAGGTCATTCTGTAAACATTCTTCAGTTTTAAGATTTTTTGTCTATAAGCTCCAAGAACACAGGGACCATGTCTTAGTTATCACTATCAATAAATGGTAAGTTTATAAGATATGGGTCACATGAATGAAAAACAGTATGAAGACAGTGATTTCCACTATCATCTTTTCGCTGATGTTCTCCCAGTCACAACTCTCTTCTGAGCTAACATCTCTACCTAGATTCCCTATAGACACCTCAAACTGAATATGCCCCAAACTGATCTTAGCATACTCCATGCCAAATCTGCAGAAGCACAGTAGCACTTTTTTTTTTAAATAAAATTAAGGAATGACTAAGTCCTGCATATTATCCAAAGCAGTCACCTTCACAGCATCCTTCCCAAGCAGTTAACTCATGTATACCTGATTATTTCTAGGAGGACAAAGTTCAAATTACTAGAATATTCTCCATTATAATGAGCTGAAACTTTCTATCCTGTACCTTCCCCTCAATGCTACTCATTCTCTTTTCTAGAGCTAAACAGAAAATATATAATCCACCAGTTTTCATTCCTGGCTACATAGAGACGATCTAGGGAGGTTTTGGAGGGGAAAAAAATACATGTGCGGGCACACACACACACGCATACACACACACATATATGCTGGTCCTTGTCTCAGATTAATGAAAACAAATTCTTGGAGTAGGGCCCAGGCATCTGTATTTTTTTAAAGTTCCCCAAGTTATGCTAATAAAAATCAGAGTTCAGAACCACTGATAAGATCTCTATTGGGATATTAAGCCCTATCATGTACTGTCTTCTCTTAAATCTCTTCTTGCTACCCTTCCTTTCCTCTATGTATTCTAGTGTATAATTTCCTACCTTCTACGTGAAGATCCAAACCAAACATAACAACCAAAATGTGGGCTAACCTGCACTGATTATTATTTAAGCAGGGAGCAGAAAACTAAAGAAATAAAGGCAGAATCTGGTAGAAAATACAAAGCTGAAAAACATAAAAAAGTACATTCTCTATCTCTGCTTCCACCTTGCTACAGCACTCCTTTACTAGTAAATAATACAAATGGCAATACTATTTCCAGGGTCCTGTGCCACCATGGCACACGGCAAAAGGGCGGCAGCTATCTCAGAATAATTTTGCCACACTGCCAACTCCATGGCTAGCAGCAGGGGTGAGGGTGGACAGCGCACAAGTGCACTGCAGAAAGTCTGCCTTAACTGCCACATGGGTTGTAGCAATGGCTACTGTTATTCTGTAGCAGCAGGCTAAGGTATCAATATAACAATAAGCTGAAGATTCACCCCACAATGGCTGACAGTCTTTGTTTCTAGACAAACCATATCTGAATACGCAGAAATGATTATCAGAACCACTGTTAATATCTTCTTCCCTAACAGGGGTCCCCGCTGAGCCCCGAGGAGGTATTTGCTTGAAGACTGTTTAACTCTGGGTGAAAGACTACTCGAATTTTAGGAACTACCAATGATCTGAAGACAGAGAGACCATTATTCACCTCATTTTTATGATGTGCTACCACGATGCTGTATGTTTTCCCCTGTCTCTGCCTGCAACAGACCTATTCTTAGGACACAAATCAAATCTTTAAGAGCTTCACCAAGTGAAAATTACTTCTCTATCAAGGATTTTGCCAAACTCAAGCACCTGTGTAGAGCCAGGGTCCCCCAAGTGGGAAGTAATAGTGGAGACATGCCGTCTCACTGGCCGCTGTCCTTCAATGCTCCTTCCATCTCACTCAGAGATCCCTTTGCAGTGCTCCATGCATTGCTCTGCTTTCCACGGGCCCTGGCACTTCTGTGCAGAGTCAGGCTATACCCACTAGCCTGGCCTGCACAGGCCTGAGTGGCTGGCACACAATTCTCCACACAAACTGTGCTTAGCACGTGGTATACACACGCTGGCTAAACCACTGTGTCCCACCATTACTTTCTAGCTACCCTGAATGGGAACCTGAGGCTCACAATTATTTTTAAATAACTGTCATGTCAGTGTTAGCTTAGACCCACCAAATGCAATTCAAAGTAAGACATTTAAGTATCTTTTCAGGTACCATTAAAATTCTTTATTTATGAATTCCAACTATTCTATTAAAATACCTCAACTCTACAGAATTAATTAACTAGCTCCTTCTGTAGCATCACCACCTATCAGGTCACACTGCTTGGATTCATATACTAATGCCTAAAGGGGCCCATTCTTAGTCTTTCCTTTCCCAGCCCCTTTAGATAAAGCAGCTTCCTTTAAGCCAAAAGTCCCTCTAAAAAAGGATGGAGAGAAAAGATACAAGGACTTCACCTGGTATTGCACTTAGCAAAAAAAAGAAACACACAGAGAAGGAAAGAGAAAGTCTGAACTTTACTGGCAGACTCTTAAACAGGGATAAAAACCACAGCTTGCAGAGAGGAGGAAAAGGGAAGGAGAAGGAAGACAGGGCCTGCAGATTCCAATGGACCTCTTCCTTCCTTGATCTGCACATGTACGTCTTTTAAGGCAGCTAAGACAGCAAATCTGTGCTGGCAACTATAAATTGCACTGGTGGCATATATTGGTATTCAGTATTTTTTTAAACAAAAAATATTCTTAAATCAGGTCTTCCTTATATTCTTTACCTGAGTAAATGATACCTGTTTTGATATAAAAAATTTTTCCCTGGGTATACAAATAGAGAAGAACCAGAAAACAGAGGAAAGTGGGCATGGGTAGGTGCGCACGCGCGCACGCACATGCACACACACACACACACACACACACAGAAATTAAAGACACAATTTCACCACCCAAAGATCATAACCATAGTTAATATAGTTAACATTTTACTGTATACCCTTCCAGTATATTTTAATATAATGTATATAACACACACACAAAACATCTTCTCAGGTCCTGAAATCATCAAATGCTTCCCTCTACAGCGTAATACTTAAAGACTGATTACTACTGTTCCAAATGGATCCTCCCTTGTTAGATATTAAAAGTAACCCTTTGGTACAAACTTCCAGTTATAAGATGAATAAGTTCTAGAGACATGATGCACAGCATGGTGTGGTGATTCTAGTTAACAGTACTGTATCACATACTTGAAAGTTGCTAAGAGAGTAGATCTTAAATGTTCTCACCAAACACAAACAAAGTAATTTTATGAGGTGATGGATGTGTTAATTAACCTTATTGTGGGAATCATTTTGAAATATATACATGTTCAAATCATCACATTGTACACCTTAAACTTACACAGTGTTATATATCAATTATATCTCAATAAAGCTGGAAAAAAGTTACCCTTTGGCCATTACAACTCTCTTTTGGAAGAAAGTGTGCCACGAATAATAATTATTGAAGAAGAAAAAATGTATTTTGGAGGTAAAACAAAATACACGTATTATATGTGATGTAAAACTGACTGGAAATGAGATCACCTTAGAAGGAAGGTTGTATAACTCAAGATATCACTCACATTGATTTCTTTTAATTAAGAAAAAAAGCCACTGAGGGAAAAATAAGTATTATATTTACTCATCTATACAACTCCCCTTCAGATTTTCTATTAATATGCCAGATGTACAAGGGACAGTTCCAGGTTGGTTTAGTTATCAGAATTAGCAATCTCTAAACTAATCAAGAATTCAAATGACACTAGTACTTTTTAAGTATAAGAAGATTATATCTAAAATATAAATCATATTCAGGTTGTTTAAGCCTCTGAAACTAGTCTAGGTGTTTAACAATTAGAATTATAATTTTAAAATTTTGGTCTTATAGAGAAAAGGGGAAATCCTTATAGTGAAAGACAAATACAGCAGCAGCCTCTCATACCTTCTCTCCTCAATCTAGTATCCAAAATATACGCAGGTGCATGCACGCACACACAAACATACACTTAAAAGCTCTACTTCAAATGAACAACTACTTTTTTTTTTTTCTTTTTTTTTGCGGTACGCAGGCCTCTCACTGTTGTGGCCTCTCCCGTTGAGGAGCACAGGGTCCAGACGTGAACAACTACTTTTAAACTACTGTAAACAATAAGAAGACATGTACAGGAACACTACTTTCAAAACCTTTGTAAGGGACAAAAAACTTTTTCCTTCAACGACTTAAACATAAAAATAAACCTCTAAACAAATGCTGATGAAGGAAAGTTCTTAACGGGGGAAGAAAACAGCTAATAAATGCAGGAGAAATATTAGAATTTTAAAAATCATCACTTATGAAATAATGGATCTAGATGGATCTAAACGATGACCATCAGTGGATGCTAAAACCATTAGGGAAAAGATTGATGCAGAACTGTACAATGGAAGATAAGGCTGATATTCCCCTGAATGCTGTAACTGACCTTAGCATCACTAAAGGGACACCCAGATATTATATATATCATGATGTGATGCAACAGAAAGTAAACAACACCATGAATATTCTAGCAAAAAAAACTGAACTTCAATTGAAGCTGCCTGACTTAACTTCCAGTTTACAGAAAATACAAGAGATGGAGGGAAAAAAATTAAATGAGCCAGAGGGAAAAAATCAGGCAAATCTGGAGTGTGAGACAGTCTACGAAGCAATTT